TTTGGACAAAAATCGCGACGTCGGGGGTCTGGTAGTCTGGGCCATTGAGGAGGAGGAGGAGGAGGAGGAGGAGGAGGAGGAGGAGGAGGAGGAGGAGGAGGAGGAGGAGGTTGAGGAGGAGGCGGGGCCGGCGGCGGCGCGGAGGAGGTGGAGGAGGGAGGCGGGGCGGAAGGGAAGGGAGGCGGTGGGGAAGGTGGCGGTGAGGAGGAGAAGGAGGAGGAGGAGGAGGGAGGAGGAGGAGGAGAGAGGAGGAGGAGGAGGAGGAGGAGGCGGAGCGGAGACAGAGGTGGCGGAAGGGAGGAGGAGGAGGAGGAGGAGGAGGAGGAGGAGGAGGAGGAGGCGGAGGCGGCGGAGTTTGCGGAGGAGGCGGAAGCGGAGGCGGCGGAGGAGGAGGAGGCGGAGGCGGAGGAGGAGGCGGAGAAGGAGGAGGAGGAGGAGGAGGCGGCGGCGGAGGATGAGGAGGTGGTGCCCTGGCCATGTCTGGGCCACGGCCCTGGCCCCGCCCCTGCTCGGGCGCGCGCCGCCGAGGATCTGCCTCCTCAGCAGCCTCGCCGCGCGGCCCCTGGGCGAGGTGAGGACCGTGAGCAGGGTCCTGGCGGACGCCCCGAAGGAGCTGCTCCAGGACAGGGCTCGTCTCGACGCCTCCGAATTCGCTCCGGTGCGACTTCGACGGGTGCCGGTTCCGATGCGGTGCGGCTTCGGAGTCTGCTTTTGGGCTCCGAGTTCTCAATATGAGGCATTATATGCTCTGCCAGTGCCGATTGCTGCCGATTCGACTCCTCCTGACTCGGCTGCCGACTGCCGCCGATCCGATGAATTTTTGTTGATCGCCGGTTCGACTTGTCGATTCGACTCTGGGCTCTCCTGCCAGGAGCTCGTGCGCCTGAAGCCCGGGAGCGAGGTCCGAGATGTCCCAAGGCTGAGTGCCCCAGCCAGCACGGCACGACCACGGGGAGTCCGTGGTCATGCTCGGCCTCTGGTCCTTCCCCCCTGTCCCTTCCTGGGCCCTCGGGGTGCACCAGGGAGGAATAACATGGCCCTGGCGGGCATCAAGGCCCAGAAGTCCGCGTTGGGAAACGTTTGCCATGCTGGGGGACAGGGGGGCGTTACCAGCCAGCAACGTTCAAGTAGTGGCGAAGCGTATGTTCTACGAACCTTTTTGTGGTCGACACGAAATGTTCTCAAAACATTTCTGGCTGAGACTGATTTGTTTTAACTCATCGGGCTTATGTTCTAAGAACCTTGTTTGTGTTGGAACATTTCGGGGTTCTAAGAACATTCCGTGGTATGCCTATAGGAATGCCTGCACGGTCGGTTCTTGCTCAAACATGTCCCTATCCTTACGATTGGCATCGCCCGATCTCGATGCCGATCTCGAGGATGCCCTCCGTATCTGATGGCGCGCGCATGCCTCAGGATTCCCTGGATCCGCGCGCGGATTTCCTGGATCCGTGCGGATTTCCTGGATCCGCGCGGATCCAGGAAATCGGATCCGCGCTGCACCACCCTGGCGGCGCCTCCAGCGCCGCCCCTGGCGCGCTTCGCGTGCCAGGGAGGGGGGTCCAGCGCGGATCCACGAAATCCGCGCGGACCGTCGAGAGTTTATGTTCTTTTTTGTTTGTTCTATTGAATCTCGATCCCCGATCCTTCCCCCTGTCCTCTCGGTGGCAGCAGGGAGATGCCTTCGCGAGGTCTTCTGGCCGTCCCCGCTGAGCACCACGCAGGACTTCGACATCTCGGAGCGGCACTCCCCTGGCCCTCTATAAGGAGTCGGGGCCGGCGCAGAATGGGGCTCGGCGGAAGCCTGGCTTGCCCCTCCACAGGGAGAGTCTTCAAACATAGTCAACACATAGTCAGTCTTCGACGATTTTGGATAAGGCTTCAGCATTTGTTGAGTATTTCTTTATGTTTCGCCCAAAATCCGCACGTAGGGTTAGGTCGGGCCTGTGCCCCTACAGGGGGATTTTCGACGAAAAATAAAAAGTTCCCTACCAATACCCCCGAAAGGTCAAACAATATTCCAAACATGCAATTGTTTTGACTATTTTTGGGGCTATGTTTGGGGCATTCTTGTATTTTTTCGCCCAAAATCCGCATGTGAGGTTTGGTCGGGCCTGTCCCCCTACCAGGGGGATCTTCGACGAAAAATGAGAAATACCCTAACAATGCCCCAAAAGGTCCAACAATGTTCCAAACATACCATTTGTTGGATTGTGTGTTGGGCTATGTTTGGGGCATTCTTTTATTTTTGCTGCCGAGAATCCCCCTGTACTCAGGAGCGAAAGAAGGACGTACATGTACATGAATCCACGCTGGTTTCGAGAGCACGCATTGCACACATGTTCGTATAACGCGGCCGGTCTCGCGAATCGAGGGGCCGTGTTCATGTACATAGCTGGGCGCGTACGTCCTTTGTGGGCTCCCTCCTGTACGGGGGACGGGCCCGACCTCACTCTGCAGAGGGGGCGCGCCCCACCGCAGGCTCTCCGCGGCTCGAGCCGCGCAGCCCGCGCGCAGGTGCGGTGCGGGCCGCCGCCCGGGGCCCGAGGCCTCTCCTCCGAGCCACCTCCTCCACCTCCTCATCCTCCTCTCAGACCGACGATTCTCCTACCTCCTCCCCGACTCCCTCATCCCCCCCTCCTCCTCCCTCCCTCCCTCCCTCCCGCCCCCTCCGACTCCCTCCCTCACTCCCGCCTCCCTCCTCCCTCCCCTCCCTCCCTCCTCCCTCCTCTCTCCCTCTCCTCCCTCTCATCCTCCTCCCTCCTCCTCCTCCTCCTCCTCCTCCTCCTTCTCCTCCTCCTCCTCCTCCTTCTCCTCCTCCTCCTCCCTCCTCCTCCTCCTCCTCCCCGGCCTCGCCGGCGCATCGGCAGCCCCGAACTTCGGCCTCCAGGTAATGGGGGGGTCATAAATGGAGGGGCGGCGAGCGTGGCCCGAAAAGGTACCCCAAATGTCCCTAAACGGTCCCCCCTGGGGCCCCGGAGGGGCCCAAAAGGGAACGACAAGTGACCGTTTCGGACCCCCCCATTAATGACCCCCCCATTAATTCACGCCCAAGAACTCGTCCCTGCCCCCCGAGATTGGCACACTCAGGGATGGCAATCCCTGAGCGGCCTCGCCGACGCATCGGCAGCCTCGATCGCGTCCCTGCCCCCTGAGACTGGCACGCTCAGGGGTGGCAATCCCGAAGCGTTAGGGGTGACAACCCCTGACACTTAGGGATGCCACATCTTACCATTATGTCGGGCGTGCCCCCCTACAGGGGTATTTTCGAAGAAAAACAAAAAGTACCCGAAAAATACCCCCTAAGGGTCAAACAATATTCAAAAAATAGTTCCCAGACTATTGGGGGACTATTTGTTGATTATTTTGGGGATATGTTTGTATTTTTCGTCGAAAATCCTCCTGTAGGGGGACAGGCCCGACGTAATCTTACCAGCCTGGAACGTATCCCTATCCCTCGAACTTGTCCCTGTCCCAACGATGACAATCTTAGGGATGCACCCTCCGAAACTGAGGGAATCCCTAGGATCACCATCGTGATGAGGCGATGCCGAACATAGGGATAGGAAAATGTTCCAGGCCGGTAAGATGCAGCGGCAAGCGGCGTGGACAAACCTCCTACCCTGACACGTCGAAGAAGGAATGGGCCGTTTTCGGTTCGCGAGAGGGCGTCGCGGCCGTCGTTTTTGCTCGTCCAGGTCCGTCGGTTTCGGTCCCAGGCCGTTTTCACTACAGGGAGGTTTAATGGAGGATGACGATTAATACATGACCGGGGGTCGTGTTCACGCGGCGGCGCCCGGGATGACGATTAGAAAAAACTGGCCGCGGGCTGGAAAACTATTTTTAAAAATCGTTCTCCGCCGGTGAGAAAATTGTGTAGAAATGACAGAAAACTATTTTTTGAATCGTTCCCCCCTCATTTTTGTATTAATCGTCATCTCGCATTACTAAAGGGAGGTTCGTCAACCGCCGAAACGCATCGGCGGCGCATCGCCGATCTGCCTGCGCAGTCTGAGCGGCGCAGGAAAGCCAAGGGCGCCCTCGAGGGCGCGTCAGTCGCGCTTCGCGCCTCGCGATGCGGCTCCTCGTCCTCCCCATCCTCCTCTTCTCAACCTGGGAGGCGACGCGAGAGCGCAGAGTTCTTCGCGCTGCGCGCGGCGCGAAGCGCGAAGCGCGAAGCGCGCGCGCGAAAGCGGGGTCGACTGTGCGGACGCTGGCGCGGCAGGCTTGCCGCTGCGCGCGCCCCCTTCTCTATACGCGGTGTGCCACGCTGGCGGCCCGCGTGCGCCGCCGCGGAGGGTCGCCGTGTCTGCTCGCGGCAGACCCCGCTTTGGTCTGGCGCTCACGTCGGGCGTTGCCAGAAGTGCCCCTGGCCCAGGGTGCCCCCAGGATGCCCAAGGAGGCCCTCCGACGGCCTCCGAAGCACCCTCTCACGAGGCCCAGGGGGCCCCAGGGGGCTCCCAGACTCAGCGAGCAGCTGGGGGCACCTTGGGCCAGGGGCACCTTCAGCAACCCTTAGGTCGGGCCTGGCCCCCTTACAGGGGGACTTTCGACGAAAAATCAAACATACCCCAAAAATGACCCCAAAATAATACGGGGATCATGTTTTTACTATTTTTTGACCTTGTTGGCGCATCTTGGGGGCATAAAAAACAGTGAATTATGCTAACGGAGTTCCCCACATAAAGATGTTACGGGGTTCCATTGCTTCTTGTCTGCGCTCTGGTGGGGCCTCCCTGGAGGGGTGGGAGGGGCACGAAACCTGATGAATAATATGGGCTGCGAATACCCTGCCCGCTCTGGTGGGGCCTCCCTGGAGGGGTGGGAGGGGCACGAAACCTGATAAATAATATGGTGTACGGATACCCTGCCCGCTCTGGTGGGGCCTCCCTGGAGGGGTGGGAGGGGCACGACACCTGATAAATAATATGGTGTGCGAATACCCTGCCCGCTCTGGTGGGGCCTCCCTGGAGGGGCGGGAACGGCACGAAACCTAGTAATAAAATATGGCGTGCGAATACCCTGCCCGCTCAGGCGGGTCCTCCCTGGAGTGGCGGGAGGGGCACGAAACCTGATAAATAACATGGTGTGCGAATGCCCTGCCCGCTCTGGTGGGGCCTCCCTGGAGGGGTGGGAGGGGCATGAAACCTGATAAATCATATGGTGTGCGAATACCCTGCCCGCTCTGGCGGGGCCTCCCTGGAATGTTGGGAGGGGCGCGAAACCTGATAATAACATGGTGTGCGGATACCCTGCCCGCTCTGGTGGGGCCTGCCTCGAGGGGTGGAGGGGCACGAAACCTGATAAATAATTTGTGTGCGAATACCCTGCCCGCTCTGGTGGGGCCTCCCTGGAGGGGTGGGAGGGGCACGAAACCAGATAAATAACATGGCGTGCGAATACCCTGCTCGCTCAGGCGGGGCCTCCCTGGAGGGGTGGGAGGGGCACGAAACCTGATAAATAATATGGTGTGCGAATACCTTGCTTGCTCAGGCTGGGCATCCCTGGAGGGGTGGGAGGGGCACGAAACCTGATAAATGACATGGTGTGCGAATACCCTGCTCGCTCAGGCGGGGCCTCCCTGGAGGGGTGGGAGGGGCACGAAACCTGATAAATAACATGGTGTGCGAATACCCTGCTCGCTCAGGCGGGGCCCCCTCTGGAGGGGTGGGAGGGGCACGAAACCTGATAAATAACATGGTGTGCGAATACCCTGCTCGCTCAGGCGGGGCCTCCCTGGAGGGGTGGGAGGGGCACGAAACCTGATAAATAACATGGTGTGCGAATACCCTGCCCGCTCAGGCGGGGCCTCCCTGAGGGATGTGGGAGGGGCACGAAACCTGATAAATAGAATCAGGCGGGGCCTCCCTGTAACCATAATATGGTGTGCGAATACCCTCCTCGCTCAGGCGGGGCCTCCCTGGAGGGGTGGGAGGGGCACGAAACCTGATAAATAACATGGTGTGCGAATACCCTCCTCGCTCAGGCGGGGCCTCCCTGGAGGGGTGGGAGGGGCACGAAACCTGATAAATAACAGGTGATGCGAATACCCTCCTCGCTCAGGCGGGGCCTCCCTGGAGGGGTGGGAGGGGCACGAAACCTGATAAATAACATGGTGTGCGAATACCCTGCTCGCTCAGGCGGGGCCTCCCTGGAGGGGTGGGAGGGGCACGAAACCTGATAAATAACATGGTGTGCGAATACCCTGCTCGCTCAGGCGGGGCCTCCCTGGAGGGGTGGGAGGGGCACGAAACCGAATACCCTGCTCGCTCAGGCGGGGCCTCCCTGGGAGGGGCACGACACCTGATAAATAACATGGTGTGCGAATACCCTGCTCGCTCAGGCGGGGCCTCCCTGGAGGGGTGGGAGGGGCGCGAAACCTGATAAATAACATGGTGTGCGAATACCCTGCTCGCTCAGGCGGGGCCTCCCTGGAGGGGTGGGAGGGGCACGAAACCTGATAAATAACATGGTGTGAGGAAAGGCATGGTATGGTATGGGATGGTGGATGCATGGTATGGTATGGTAAGGTATGGTATGGAGTGGCATGGTATTGGTATGGTATGATACAGTATGGGATGGTGGAGGAAGCGGGAGGAGGAGGAGGAGGAGGAGGAGGAGGAGGAGAGGATGTTCTGGGAAAACAAGAACCCCACTCAGGATGTGGGGACAAATCCCCCTGTAGGGGGACACGCCCGACTTAAAGCAACCCCCGAGCATTTGCCTGGCTCCCGCCTGGGTGGCCTCCAGGTACGCCACCGGCACCGTGAGCCCCGTGGCCAACAACGTGCTCTTCACGATCGGGGGCGTGAGGCAGGGCCTCGACCTGGGCCTGCTGAGCCAGTGCCCCGCCCCGCCGACACCCAGAGAATCAGCCTTGACGAAGGACTCGCCCACATGCAGCTGCGAGTATCGTTAAGTCGGGCCTGTCCCTCTACAGAGGGACTCCTAAAAAATAGTCAAACAATAGCCTGGGGAGTTTATTTTGAATATGGTTTGAGCATTTTTAGTTTTTGGGGGGTATTTTTAATTCCCCCTGTAGGGGGACAGGCCCGACTTAAAGCTTGACGAAGGGCTCACCCATATGCAGCTGCGAGTATCGCGAGGTAGACGAGACGAAGGAGGGGGGCAATCAACAGGCATGCGGACACCGCCGCTGGGGGCTTCGGTGAAGCCCCCTGGGGCTACGAAGCGCTGTGCTGGGTGGGGGAACCGCATGTGGACACCGCCACTGGGGCCTTCGGTGGAGCCCCCTATGGGGCCACGAAGCGCTGTACTGGGTAGTGGAACCGCATGTGGACACCCCCACTGGGGCCTGAGGTGGAGCTCCCTATGGGGCCACAAAACTGCGTTGGGTGGTGGATGCAGAGGCACGGTTGCGAGTAGGGAGGAGGGGGAGGAGGAGTGAGGAGGAGACGCGGGGTGCTGTCTCTTCAAAACGAGGGCCCAAAATCACAGGATGGTCCGGAAAAAAACAAGTATCTAACACTCCGCCCAGAGCTTCATGGAGTCGTTTTTTCTGCCTCCTTCAGCCACCTCCCTCCTCCTCCTTCTCCTCCTCCTCCTCCTCCTCCTCCTGATCCCTCCTGCTCCCTCCTCCTCCCTCCTGCTCCCCCCTCCTTCCCTCCTCCTCCTCCTCCTCCTCCTCCTCCTCCTCCTCCTTCCCTCCTCCTTCTCCTCCTCCTCCTCCTGCTGCTCCTCCTCCTCCTCCTCCTCCTCCTCCTCCTCCTCCTCCTCCTCCTATGAGCTAGGTCGTATCGATCAGATTGCCCGTGATGCTCTTCGTAAAAAAGGGTGGTATGCGCTATTCGACTCGCCGAACACGTTCGACCCCCCAAAGCGGCCCTGCTGACGTTTGGTACACGTCCTCCTGATCCGCTACCTGCTCTAACTCCGTGTTCCCAGCATTTGTTCAATTGTGAAATTGCAGCCGGAGGAAATCGTTGTACGCAATTTTCTCCGACGGTGAAACAATGACGTGCACATGAATATAGAGCTACTGGTACATGATGTGACTATCGCAACGCAGCTATTGCTAATCAGTGCCTCTGGTGTGATCGTGTATTTTCGACTACGACGAATGCCAAAGTGCATTGTGTTGCCCGAGGTAAACGAAAACCGTGTGCGTACCCTACGAAGCGAGGTTCGTCTGGTGGTCTTCTCTCGGCTCTAACCGCACACACTCCGATAGCGCCCCCCTATTGTTCGGACTGTACATTCTCCTCCCTAGCGGAGGCACATCAGTACATTCGCCCACACTTTTAGCCACAAGAGCGCGATGGAGGCTCTGACTACACAGATCAAGGTGACGGGGGAGCGGCAGCTGCCTGCGAAACATCGTGTGGTGGGTTCGGCGGGGACGGATGTTCAGTTGCGCAAGCTAGCAGTATCCGCACCTGGGTGGGATGCAGCTGTCGAGGAGGGATTACGACACGGAGAGGAGGGCCCTGAAGGAGGCCAAAGACATCGAGGGAATGCCAAAGATGCCGTCGCACGAGCGTGCGCGGGTGAGTCTAGTGACTCGGGTGCCACCGCTGCTGCTCCAGTACCACGCGGTGACCAAGAGCGCGGGTGGTCAGGTCTTGACGCGCTCGCTGAAAAAGTGTCATCGGCAGCGGCAGTGGACGGAGGATCGTTGGCGGATCAACATGATGGTGGTGCCGGAGCTTCGCGGAGTGTGGCTAGAAGGTGTGAGTGCCATCGGCAGCAAGCCCAAGACCGAGCTGAAGAGTGGAGCACCGACCGGGAACACCAACGCGAGGAATGCGATCGCCGAACAGGGGACGTTGTGCGAGTTTCAGGACCTCTCGAAGACGGACTGAGAACTGCTGAACATGAGCGAGCCTCAGCATTGAGGCCAGGACCCGTGTTGCTTGCGCCGCTGCTGCCGCAGCCTACAGTCCTTTCCCCGCCTCCCTCGCTCGCTCGTATGTCTCCCACTACCTCGTCTTCCTCGTCCTCCTCCAACGCCAGAATGAGCACGTAGTTTTCGGGGACCCTCAGAGTTCTTAGAGATATTTGATTTGTGTTGGTGGGGATCGAGGTTGGCTTTGGTTATCATCAGAGTGCCCCGAAATCCATGGCCTCCCCGCGGTTTCATGGGTGCCAGCGCTCCGCCGTGATCTCTTGGGGGTTCCCTCGCGGTCACGTTTGGGGCCAGCGGTTTGGGGAGTGTTCTCGGGCCCGCTTGCACCTCGCGACCCTGGTGCCCAGCTAAAACCAGACTCGCATGCAGATGGATGTGGCCTGCAGGTGCCTCAAAGGGCATAGAATAGAATAGAATCCTCCTCCTCCTCCTCTTCCTCCTCCTCCTCCTCTTCCCCCCATCCTGCCTTTCTCTGGGCGGCCCAGGCAGGGGCCTGCCCGCGCCCCTCTTTTCGGAGGGGTATCGGGGAGGAGTCGTGTGGGGCGGCGTGGGTAGGGCGCTTGCCGACGCGCCGTGGGCGCGTGGCTTCTGTCTGCCTGTCTGTCGCCCTGGCTCGATTGCTGCCTGCCCGTCCTGGGCCTGGTCTCCAGGCAGCTTTTGGCCCCTGCATGCGCGCGGGCAAGTTGGCGCAGGAGGTCTCGTTGGGGGTCGGCGTCCTGACGGCGAGCTTCAGGGATGTGGCGCCCATATAGCAGGACTGGGGAGGTAGGTCTCCATCATCGAGTGATCGCGCGTCGGGTCGCCTTCGGCGACTTCGTGGTCGTGGTGGTCAGCGTCTACCGTCTACCTTGAGCGCTCCACGAAGCTAGCGGGTGTCAACCTGGATCTGCTCGGCATGGTCCAGGAGTTCCTCAGAGCCACAAGCGAGCCGTTCATTGTGGTGGGGGACCGGAACATGGAGCCGCAGGAGCTGTCGGCGTCGCGGTGGCCTCGTTCGGTCGGAAGAGCCGTGCTGGAGCCGCCGCGCCCTACTTGCAGCGGCAAGAAGTGCGAGTACTTCGTCGTCTCGGCGGCGCTGGCGGCGCTCGCGTCCCAGGTCGAGGCACTGCGGCCGACGACGAGTTGCCCGCGCGTGCCCGTGCGCCGCTCCCGCGCGAAGCTGGGCGCCCTGGCCCAGGTCTGGACGCCGCAGCCCCCGCGGAGCCTTGATGTCGAGCAGAAGGCGCCGGCTGAGGCGAAGGCTAGAGCGGCGGACCTCGCCCGGGCTGCGCGGTGGCAGGCCCCCCTTTGAGACGCTCGGGGCCTTCCCGACAAAGCGGTGCGTGAGTTCTTCGACGTGGCGGAGGCGCACCTGATCAGGCGATTCGAGATGCAGGATGGCGCTGCCTACTGCGGCAGGTGTCGCGGTGTCCGCAGAGCCCAGAAGTGCCTGGGGGACCTCCAGCGCGCCGAGGCGGCCACGAAGGTCAGCCCGCTGACCAGGCACTTGATGTCCCTGGGAAGGCTCGCGTGGGAGCTGGCGGCGGCAGCAGCGGCCCTGGCTCCGAAGGAGGCCGTTCGCCCAGCAGGGCTGCGAGATGTTCACGTCCGCGAACGCGCGGCTGCAGCTGGAAGAAGTCGACGCGCCCACGCGGGAGGCGGCTCTTTCTTGGGGGTCATCCAGGCTGCCTTTGCCAACCGCGCCAAGTCTGACGCCCACCTTGCGCGGCGTGGCCGGACGGAGTTCGCGGGCGACCCCGTCGGCAGCAGGGGGCGGCTGAACGCATGCAGTCAGCAAGCAGCCGCATGAGGAAAATGTTTCAGTCCTGGGCGAGGGGCACAGGGCAGGGCCCCCCCCTGCCCCGCCGGTCGGCCAAGCCGCCTTGGGCCAGGCGATGTTGGAGTGGAAGCAGCTTTGGGTGGACAGAAGGGCCCCCGAAGGGGCGCAGCAGGGCAAGAACGCCAGGGGGCCTGAGCCGCCTGAGAGCTGGGCAGTGACATGGACCTTCCAGTCACCGCAGGAGATGGTGATGGAGGCGGCCAAGTACTTCCCCAAGGACCGCCCTGGGCTGGGGCCCGCGGCAGCTGCTGCTCTTGTGCCAGCCCTACTTTGGCCCGAGCAGCCGCGCTGCTCTCCGCCTTGGAACGCGACCCCAGACCCTCTGGCCTCTTCGCGACCTTGATCGTTCTCTTGGCGAAGCCCGACGGCGGCAGGTTGCCCATCGCGCTGGTGCCTTTCTGGCCGCGGCTGTGGAGTCGCATGCGCAGGCGGCGCTGCGCCTGTTGGGGGTCCGAGCGCGAGCTGCCCGAGATCTGGGGCAGCAGCTGTGAGACCAGCTGCGACAGTGCGGCCTACTTGCGCGCCCTCTATCTGGGGCTGGCGCGCTCGAAGGGCTCCCGCGGGGTATCAATTGCTACGATATGAGCAAGTTCTACGAGTGGACTGACCGCCGGCTGCGACAGGGCGGCAGAGGCGCGTGGTTTCAGCCCTGGCCTGGCGCAGGCGATTTGCGCAGCGCGCGCGGGCCCCAGGCGCGCAACGGTGGGCGAAGCCATCAGCGAGGAGGTCAGTGATAGAGGGTCGGTGATTGCAGGCTGTTCTCGCGCGACTGTGATGGCGCGTCTGATGTTGTGCGACTTGCTGCTCTGCGGTCGCGCCCTCTTCCAAGTTTGACGAGTTTTCAACGTGATTGACGATGCGGCAGGGCACGGCATCGGTGCGAAGCAGATCCTGGTCCGCCAGATCAGGCAGTTCGCAGCGTTGGTGGTGCGCATGCTGCGCGACAAGCGCCTTCCCATCAACGGGGGCAAGACCAAGGTGCTGGCGTCTTCGGCCGACCTGCAGAGGGCGCTGCTGGCGCAGGAGAGCTGGCCGCATCCCGCAGACGCGTTCGCGTCAGGGCACCGCGACCTTGGAGGCGGCGCGACCGCGGGAGCCCACCGCAGGGTGGCCGCACAAGTGGCGCGAGAGCTGGCAGCCCTACGGCAGGCGTCTTGCCTGGGTCGGATCTTTGGCCCAGTGCTGCGACGAGCCGAGGTGGTGGGGGCAGGGCCGACGGCGAAAGCCTTTTGGGGCTCGGTTACCTCAGGGGCGCCGCCCGGCCATGTGCGAGCCTTGCGGGCGACGGCGGCCAAGAGTGCAGGTCGGCTGGCCCCAGGAGCAGCCCTCAGCTTCGCGCTGCAGTGCTCCGCAGGAAGCTGGCGCCAGGATCCCCCGGCCATAGCGACGGGCATGGCAATGCAAGCCTACGTCGGTGCGTCCTGGGCACGCCAGGCCTGGCCATCCGCGATCATGGCTTGCCTGGGGCCCAGCCGCAGGCTCGAGCGAAGTCAGGGGCCATGGTCGGCAGTGCGTGACCTGTGGCGGCGCTGGTGCCCACCCTGAATCGCGTGGGCTGGCAGCTCACGCGGGGCGGCCTCGCCGTCGAGGACGAGCTGGGCGTGGAGTTCGATGCGCGGTGCCGGTCTCCCGCGTTCCTCTCTGAGCGAGCCCGCGAAGCGTCCCGTAAGGCGGCGGCCATGGAGCAGTGCCGCACGAGGACCGACTCGCTCTGGCCTTGGTGGTTGCCTCCAGCGTGGTCGCCAGTCAACGACCTGCTGGGCAGGAGGGCCACGGGGATCTGAATCCGCCACCACAAGGGCTACCCACGCTGGCTGGTCTCGCTGCCCCACTGGCCCCAGGCGAGGCTCGCGAGGCACAGGGCTGACATCGACCCCGCATGCCTCCTATGGGGCAGGGGCGATGTTCCACCGTCACTTCGAATGCCCAGCCTGGCAGGCCTGGGGGAGAGACGGTCACCCAGCCGACCTGGGGGAGGAAGCCGTCGTTGCTCGGGACCTCGGGGCAAAGTTCGGGGAGCAGTTCGCCCGGGGCCTGTTAGTCTCCAATGCTTCCCTGTTGAAGAGACCGCTGTGGCAGCCTCGCTGGGAGCGGCGGTGGGGCGCGTGGGGAAGCCCCATGGTGGTGCCGCCTGGCGCGCTGGTGTTCTTGGGCGGCCCCTGCTTCCACGGCCGCTTCCCCACCGTCCGCCGCGCGGGCTGGGCGGTGATCGTGACGTCTCAGGAAGGCCAGGTCTCGGCGCAGGCCTGGGGGGCGGTCCCGCCGCAGGAGATGCCCGCCCAGTCTGCGAGGGCAGGCGAAGACAATGCGGCTGCGAGTGATCGCGTTGAGGGGGGCCATCGGGGTCTACGAAATCCCCAGCGGCTGCAAGGGCACGGTGGACTTCATCGGCAACCTGTAGCGAGTTTTGGGGTTTGACCTCGTTGCGCGCCCACCCGCGGGCGCGGGCTGGCGACGCGATTGACGACGCCACGGCGAGGCGCATCCCAGCCCGCACCTCCGAGGGGGCGGCGCGGCTCGGAGAGGTCTCGGCGCAGGGGAGAGACGGGGGCCGTCTGGCCGACCTCAGGGCCAGGATGGGCGTCGGGCCCCATGCGGCGGGCGACGGCGACCCGCTTCTACTCGAGGGGCTGTTGGCCCGAGCCCGTGGCGCGGCCGGGTGCGCGGCAGAGATCGAGGTCCACATTGCCGAACACGGGGCCAGAGACTGCTGGCCTCCGGAGGCGCTGGAGGACCTCGATTTCGGGGTGCCCGAGCGGGGGGCCAGCGAGGCCAGCGCGGCGGCTGGCGCCCCCCCTGGCGCGGCCGCCGCCGCCGTGATTTCGGCTTCGGAGCGAGGGGTGCGTGGAGGGCGAGGACAGCGAGTTCCTGGCCTGCGCCACTTGCTTCATGTATGCGAAGACGCCCAAGATGCGCTGGCGAGGGCTCCGCGGTGACTTCGCAGGTGTCGCCGCCAGCAGACCCCGCCAAGGTTCGCGAGCGCAGGCGCGAAACGACCTTGAACGCGGGCTGCTGCCAGGTTCCAAGCCGAAGAAGGCCTTCGGCTCTCTCGCGTCGCCGACGGCTGGTGCGGAGCCGCCGGGCGGGAAAAAGCAGGGGCCGGGGTCGGGCGCCCACCGCGCGTTCGAGTTCGGCGCAGGGCGGCGGCGAGAAGGCGCGGCCAGCCAGGCGCCAGCGCAGCTGACTGCGCCCTCATCCTGCCGCCAGTCGAGGCGCTGGCCGCAGCCTACGGGTTGCCCCGGCGGCGGAGGCGAGGGCCTGAGGGGCGGCGGCGCGCAGGTCGAGGGCTGCCGCAGATGCCGCGGCGGCTGCCATGCGTGCCCACCGCAGAATTGCATGAATTTGTGCACGCGGGCTTTGCCCCCGAAGAGAGAGAAAAATGCTCCGCCGTAGTAAGTCACCGCGAATGCGCGACCCATCCGTAAAGAGATCCTCACGTGGGTCGAACTGAGGTTATCCAGCGGGCTGGCCGTCGCTCCCGAACAAAATGTTGCCAGTCGCGAAATGGGTCAAGGGATGTCGGGAAACAGGGCCCATAGCCGAGACCAAAGCAACGGCTGGCAGAGGCCCCATCGGAGTTACGGTGGTGGCGCTGGTTAAGACATGCGCCCAAGTTGCTTCAGACCCTGGAGGGTTCCTTATCTGATGAGGGCGGCGGTGATATCCATGGGCAATCCACGATTGGCTTTCCACTGGCGTCCAGACCTTGGATTCCGTTTTTGGAAGGCTTCCGAATCCAATGCCACCACCGTACCTCGCGGACTCGTCGCCAAATGTTCAAAGCGAGCGGCCATTACATACGGACGAGTGCATTCCCACAGCCTGTGTTGGAGAGTGTCGCTTTCATGCCCGCACGATGGGCACACGCGGGGGACATGATATCCCACTTGTGAGCGAGGAGGCAGTCGGGACAGCTCCCGGCAGCACCTGATTATCAATGGGAAGTTGGTCCGCAGAGAAGCTCTGTGCGACGCGCAGAATCAAGGGTAACCACAAACCTGTCGCGTCAAGGCCATTCCTGTGACGGAGGTCATCTATGAAAGCTTGAGCGGCCTGAGCGGGTGGCCGCTCTGTCAAAATCCACTTGGCCCAAATCCCTGCTCCTCCTCCTCTTTTTCCTCCTCTTTTTCCTCCTCCTCCTCCTCTTCCTCCTCTCCCTCCCTCCTCCCTCCCCGCTCCTCCTCGCTCCTGCTCGCTCCTCCTCGCTCCGCCTCGCCCCTCCGCCCTCCGGCTCCTCCCTGCTCCTTTCCCTTCTCCCCCTCCCTCGCTCCCAAGTTGGCAGGTACCCTGGGGAGGAGGAGCTGCTGCTGCCCGCGTGCTCGCTGCTGCGCGTGGTCGCGGTGAGGTCGCAGGACCAGCGGGGCGCGAACCTCCACTCCGGAGTGAAAGAGATCAGGGGAAACGAGAGGGGGTGATTGCGGCATTGGTGGCAACAGGAAGGGCGGACAGGCATAAAGGGGGTTCGAGGTGTGAGGTCCCCGGACGTGCTCGTTACTTTTTGGCGGCTTTCCAGCCCCGGGATGCCCTCCAGCAGCTGCACCTCGCCGAAGACGTGCCAGCGGTGTCGGGTTCTTCCCGAGCGGCCGCCAGAGAGCTGCGTGTTGGCCCAAACACCAAGGGGCAGCGATAGGGGGAGACAGGCACGATGGGGAACGCACCGACCCCCCATCGCCATAGGGGGGGGGGGGGACAGGCAAAGGGAGGAGGAGGAGGAGGAGGAGGAGAAGGAGGAGGAGGAATTTAGAGGAGGAGGAGAGGGGGCCCATTGGCCTGGCCCCCAATCGACCGTTGATCGCCGATAGGGGCCCGATAGCCCCAACCTGCTCAGGAACCTCGGGTCCACGATCGGGGGCATATCGCCAACCTATCGGCGATGTATCGCCGATTCCAGGTCGATGCGTACCCCCCTTTATGCCAGTCCCCCATTATCGCTGCCCCTCAGAAGCAGAGCAATGACACGCTGCGTCCAGCCGCAGACAGGAGCACTGCGTGAACACGAGAAGGTTCGGAGGTCCCCGCGAATTTCTCGGCTCGGCGCCGGCGCCCCCTGGCGGCGCTGGAAGGAGTCGGGAGAGACGAGGCCCAAGCATCACGTCCGGCCTTCTCTGTGGCAGTGGCGAAGCGTCCTGGCTCGCCTATAGAGCTATAGAGCCACCAGGGAATGTTCTAAGGACCTTTTGTGGTCTGCACGAGATGTTCTTCAGACCTTTTTTTCGGGTGAGACTGCCCTGTCTTTGCACATCGGGCTTACGTCCTCAGAACATGTTTGGGTACTCCAGATTTCGTAATCGGCAGTGTGCATCCACCGAGGGAAGAAGATCCCGATCTCGGTGATAGTGGTAGTATTCTGGCTTCCAAGGTGGCCGAAATATTATCACCAACACCGAAATCTAGGATCGTCTTCCCCCTGTGGAGGCAACCCCCTGTGTTGGTGTTGGTGCCAATTTCCAGGCCTCCAAGGATGGGGTCGGAGTAGACGGGGTCGGAGGATTGCGCCGCATCGCCGATGCATCGGCGATGCGGCGCGATGCGGAGCCCGATCTTCTCCACGCCGGCGTCGCCGATGGATCGCCCATGTCGACGATGCATCGCCAGTGCATCGCCGATCCATCGCCGATGCATCGCCGATGCATCGGCGATGCGGCGCGATCCTCCAATCCCATCTACTCCGACCCCTATCTGGGAGGACTCCTCCTCCTCCTCCTCCTCCCGCCTCCTCCTCCTCCTCCCCCTTCTTCTCCTCCTCCCCCTCCCCCTCCTCCTCCTCCTCCGCCTCCGCCTCCTCCTCCTCCTCCTCCTCCTCCTCCTCCTCCTCTCCTCCTCCTCCTCCTCCTCCTACTCCGGCGCCATCTGTAGGAGGCCTCTGGCCCCGGAGCGGATGCGCACGCGGTGGGCCACACGATGGGGGCCCTCGGGGATCCGATCGCCTCCGCGGCCGCGCCTCTCGCTCCGAGGAGGAGGAGGCAGCTATGTACCTCTACTCCAGATTTCGTAATAAAGGGCGGGGGGTCTCATTTCGGGGGGGGGTCTCTTCCATCAGGCTATCTTGGAGGGCCTGGGGGGTTTGGGGACGAGGTTTGGGAGGGTTCTCCCAGGGGGGAGGTCTGAAATGGCTTGTCTTGGGGGGTCCAGACCCCCTCCCTTTTATTACGAAATCTGGAGTACCCGTACGTCGGGCCTGTCCCTCTACATGAGGAATATTCAAAGATAGTCCAACAGTAGTCTGGGACTGCCCCTCTACAGGGGGGAATATTCAAAAATCGTAAAAAGATGGTCTGGGGATTCTGTTTTTATGTATGTTTGGGTATCTTTTTGCGCTTTTGCATATTTTTAAATTTGTCGCCCAAAATCCCCCTGTAGGGGGACACGCCCGACTTCACTCTACCCTTTCTTCGTTTTCCCCTTTTTGGGCCTCCCCGGAGGCCCTCGTCGCCACCGAAGTCCTGGTCCGGACGCACCCCAGGAGAGGTCCGGGGAGTACCGGTATCAGTACCTCGTTCGGCTGTTGCTAGAAGTGCCCCTGGCCCAAGGCGCTCCCAGCTTTTCGCCTCATTTGGGAGCCCCTGGGGCCCTCTGGGCCTCTTGAGGGGTGCCCATGGAGGCCGCCTGGGCCACCCCGAGAATCCTGGGGGTACCTTGGGCCCAGGGCACTTCTAGCAGTACCCGACTCCTGGTTGCCCCACCCGTTCCCCCGCCTCCTCGGTGCCAATGTGCTGTGCGGCAGCCCACTGCCTACTCCAGATTTCGTAATAAAAGGGAGGGGGGTCTGGACCCCCCAAGACAAGCCATTTCAGACCTCCCCCGTGGGAGAACCC